GCCTCCGTCTGTCTGTCTGTAAATCTGGGGGAAAGAACACCACTGAACCTAACTCTGACTCGGTCAGTGTCAAGTGCTGAGTAAACACCACAGAAGTGTAGCTTTCATTATTTACCTGGAGTCCTGGACGATGGGTGTTAATTGGGTAAAATAAACACCTGAAGGGCTGGGGATGCAGCTCAGTTGGTAGAGAGCCTGCCTCGCATGCACAAGGCCCTGGGTTCAGTCCCCAGCACCACCAATAAATCAATAAATAAACACCTTACGATTCCTTCCACCTATTGCTACTTGTGACGCAGCCCCCTCTCGCTGGCCTTGGGCTGCGTGGCAGCGAGTCGGGAAGCATCCACAGAGGCAGCTCCCTGTGCAGTTGGTGAGCATCTCCTGGCCCTTGGAGTTTCCCGGCTCCCCCTCTAGTTGAGGGCAGAGGCTATGCCTAAGGACCACGGCCGCCAATATTTCTGGAGCGCTTAACTCCRATCAGACGCCATGCTAACCGCGTTACCCGACACGTTTCACGAGCTCTTCCCAGTGCCCCCAGCTGGCTGGTGGCATTCTCAAACCTGCCCACGGTGGGCTCAACAGGCCTCGGGTGATTCAGCACTCTTCCCCAAACTTGTGGGRTCCCAAGGACCCCCCAAGGCAGCGGAGTGGCCCATGCTGATCCCCAGGCCTGGGGTGCGATGATTCTGGAGGCCTGGTGGGGGGCCCAGGAATCTGAATCCTCGCCCCAGCTTGTCCTTTGTCTCCTGTCTGGCCAACGAGAGTCACTGCATGACCCTGAGGTCCCCGATTCCCTCCCTGAGCACCAGGCATGCTCTCTGTCCTGTGCGGCTGGCTGGAAGGTTTTCCTTGGGGCTGTTACCTACCAAACAGGGAGGACGAGGGCACCCAAGCAGAGGCCTACGCAGGCTCGTTAGTATGCAAGGCCCTTCTGTCACATTCCTTTAACTGAAGCTCAAGGGCTGGCGCATCTCTCGGGGATTTTCCACTCTCCCAGCTCTTCCGGAACTGGCTGGGCACCAGGCTGCCAAGGGGGACAAGGACGACACAGGGCACCGAGACATCTGTTGGATGGAATTGGGAGCCAACCATGATGATGCTCTAGACTCAGGTGGACACTGGCTCTCCTCCTGCCTCAGCCTCAGCCTCAGCCTCAGCCTCTCAGCCTCCGTCTGGGACTACCAGTGTGTGCTGCTGCACCCAGTGGTTTGACCCTTGCATAAAATTCTCGTGGGTCACATGTTGCATATGATAAGCCAACCCTGCTGTGAGCACCTTCAATCCTCGTCACTGCCCTGTGTGACACCCCCCGCCCCGTGTGACACCCCCTGCCCCGTGTCACCCCGGAGACAATCACTTTGGATTCTCAGGTGGATACCCTGTATCCTTAATAGGCTCCTATAGCAAGACTTCAGACCTCCTCTATGATCCTTGCAGCAACCGATAAGCGCTAGCTCACTTACAAACCACCCCTTCTTCCCCAAACGGCTAAAGTGCTCTTCTTCTTTTATTGATTGACATAGTAATTTTGAGTAGAATATTGGTATCTTTCTTTTCACCTTTGTGTCTATGTGTGTGTGTGTGTGTGTGTGTGTGTGTATGTGTGTGCGCGGGGTGGGGTGGTGAAATAGACGCACAATAGGGACAATAAAACATATAAGGCACACCCATGTGCCATCACCCAGCCAAGGAAACACTGGCAGCACTTCTTTTTTTATTTTTTTTAAGTGGTGGATGGACCTTGACTTTATTTACATGTGGTGCTCAGAACTGAGCCCAGAGCCTTCCGTGCTGGGCGAGCGCTCCACCTTTGAGCCCAGCACTCCTAAAGCCCACCCCACTCCCGTGGAGCCACTTACCCTGATTCCTTAAGTACTCTCTCTTGCTTCTTCTGGCGGGGGGTGTCTTTTCACCCTTGAATGCCTCTCTCGGCCTCTAGAGTTGCTCTAACTAGAATCRCACACTAGGCATCACCCTGCGCTGGCATCGTCTCTCTGTGTGGCTCAGCTAATCCACCTTGAGGCCTGCTCACTGCTGCAGAACCACYGCTCAGGCCCACCACAGTTTGTGTATCCAGTGGCTGTGGACGGACATTTGTTTCCTGTTACCTCCTGCCATGGYCTCTATTTCCCCTCTCCCAGGACACCATGCAGGGCTTCCTGCAGGAAACACAGGGTGGAATCGCCTGTATTCCTCATCAGACTCAGTGTCACTTGATGACACCCTTTCCCGTACGGTCGCACCTCCAGAGACTCTGACGTCAGTGCAGAGTGGGACTGAGGATGGGGACTTCCCAGGCCCYCAGCCGATTCCTCTGTGAGGCTCCCTCCCACCCTTATTTCCAGTCCCTTGGCTCTAGACACAGTCTCCAACTCTCTGCTTTGAAAARGAAACACAGGGGCTGGGGATTCCTCCCCAAGCCAAAGTGTCCCTCCACCTACCCACAGCCTGCAGCGTGTCTGCACAGTAGGTGACTCACAGGCAGCCAGCTTAGAATGCTTAGAACCTGAGGGGGCTTCTAGAYGCCTCTGGAGGTCCTCTCATCACACCTCTGGAGCTTCCTAAAAGGATTCCAACACAAGTCTGTTTCTCAGCCCTGGCTAAACAGGAACTTTGACTATAGATAYGGATCCCCAGGCTCCAGGCCAAAGACGGCTGGCTTTTGGGGTGAGGTTCAGATACCAATAAATTCCAGAAAGTGACCACATGATTCTTAAATATAGCCAGAGGGAGAAGCTGTAGTCTGGGGGCTTCAAACTTCATACTGATGTTTATTGGAACCCCCCCCCCCCAGGGTCTGCTAATGCAGATTGCTGGGCTCCACCCCTAGTTTCAGATTCTCTATCTGGAATGGCGCCTTGAATTTGCATTTCCAACAATGTCCCTGTGTCCTCCAAACACACAGGGGAGCTGTCTGGCTGGTCTGGAGTTCCGCCTGAGGCTGCACAGGCTCACCCAGGTCCTCGCCATGAGGAAGCGGGTGGCCCAGAGGCGTTCCGTGTGCACACCTCTTCCCAACTCTGTGCTGGGCAGCTGTGGACAGCTGGCGGCAAGCCATGACAATGGCAAGTGTGGAAATGAGGACTTTCCCCCACGCCACCCACCAGGGACCCGTGAGGGATGCTGGGAGAGCACTCAGCCAGGAGCGGAGTGTCCTTGGCCGTGAAGGATCAGTGTCACATTAACGGGGTCTGCATGCAGGGAGGRTCTTCACTGTGGCTGCCCCTAGAGCGTCCATACAGAGAACAAAAAGATACATATTGTGCACTGAAAAAAATAGGTCCTGTGACCACAGGCTCCAAGTAGAAAAATGATTTTGGTTTGAGTTAATACAGCTTAACTATCCCTTAGCTGAAAGGGACCAGAAGTGTTTCAGATTTCAGAATATTTTAACTTACATAATAAGATATCTTGGGGATGGGACCCAGGTCTGAACACTGAATTCATTTATTTTTTTTTATGCACATCCCCTGGAGGTGATTCTGTACAATATTTCACATAATTTTGTGCATCAGTACCTTGACAGTGTGGAGTTTCCACTGGTGGCATGAAGTCAGTTCTCAAACAGTTTTGAATGTTAGCGCATTTAAATTCTGGATTTTCAGTTTGGAAYGCACGACCTGTACAGTGTGAGGGCACAAAGCCAAATAAACACGTTAGACATTTTGATCACTATTAAAAAAAAAAAATAGTGGAACATGGAAAGCCAAGGAGAGTGTGGATGCCCTCAGCATTTCAAATCACCTTCTCAGTCAGCACCTGGGCCAAGACAGGGACAGGAGGAAGGGAAGGACAGACTGAAGGACTCCCGGGACCTGCCAAGGCCAAGTCCATGCCTGAGAGCTGAAGATCTGGAATTGATTTATTTGAAGTGAATCATGCCCAAGAATCCTGGGGAAATCTTCGTGTGCCTGACATTTGCGTCGCTGACAATGTCCACCCGATTTCATTAGGAAATACCCAAATTGCTGGTGRTAGGAACAGAGCTCTCCGCTGTGCRGGCGTCTGGCTGGTATATGCCCTTAGYCGTGGGGGATCAGGATAAGGGGGTAGATGAACTGACTTGGTAATGACYTCAACACTTTCTGCTACAACAGGGCTCTTCACGAATAACTGGAATAACGGGAGCCTGGGACCCCACTCTTAGGCATTTGTGTCCGAGGCAAGCACTGGGACACTGGTGGCAAGAACATTAAAAACTGAATGTCTTTGGGCTGGGGATCCGGCTCAGTGGCAGAGCACCTGCCTAACA